ATTGTTGTCAGCATTAAGTCGGAGTATGATTCAGTGGGCCATATAACACTTAATTATCAAGAAATTACTTACCTTTAACAGTTTTGGTTCAACATACTTACCTGTTGATCAATTTTTTTATTTTTTTTTAATTTAGTAACTTTCAGGAGGGTGTACTCATTTTTGCAACACAACATTTTATCACTTTGATAAGAAAATTGTATTTTCTTGAATAATTTTAACATTCTTCTTTGGTAACTGATCAAGCAGACTTGCTGGAATATTATATCTCTAAAAAACATATGTCTTCTAAGCAAAGAGTAATTGCTGAATTTGTTAAGTTTCAGAGGGGGTGTACTCATTTATGCTGTGCACTGTATGTGTGTGTGTGTGTGGTAGGCAGCTGTCTAGGTTTGGAACAGAGCCATTGAGTCTCCAGAGTCTCCAGTCAGACATTATGATTGCTGCATAAAACTATATGAAAGTAGACGTGTGTAGGTGGCTGGCAATATTTCTCAGCATGTTTCAGGGAGCTGTTCTCTCTGTTGGACATTTGTAATATGTAGTATGAGAGGTGTCTATGTGAAAGAGTAACTGTGTGTTTGTTGAACTGCTGACAGTGATGGTGAACGTGACAACCTCTGTTTTGCACTGCAGTGCTCAGATTTCACATAGCACGCTGTAAGCATCAGGCAGGTTGATTATTAGATATTTCCATCTGTCTTTCTTGTTTGTAATAAGTAGAGCATGGCGCTAGCAATGCTGTAATTTTGCGTTCGATACCAGGGAATGCTAAAATGTATACCTTGAATGCTGTGTAAGTCGCTTTGAATAAAAGTGTCTGCCAATTGCGTAAATGTACAATAAAAATGCACAAACAAAAACTCACCTGCTCTTGATGCTAACACCATTTGCTTCCATTGTAAGTGCTATGTTCTTTTCTTTATGTAATCCCAGATAGCACACGTACGTCTGCAAGATGTCTGTTAAAGATCGCTTCATCTGGAAAGCATCTGCTGTGTACAGACATCTGATAGACATCTTTAAGATATCAGTTTTACATACACTCTAAATCATAAACATCTTAAAGATATTTTCTAAACGTCTATTTGACATCTCATAGAAAACGTCCTATAGACATATTGCAGATGAGCAAATGCTCTAAAAATACATCTTGCAGATGTCATATAGACGTCTCCGTGATGTACGTGTGCTATCAGGGATGTTTTTAAAAAATGGGAGATGAAATGAATCATAGATTTTCTGTGGTATGTAACAAATGCTGTCAAATGAGCTCAACTTCAACATTTTTCACAGGATTCTTGTAGCTGATTCCAGTCTCTGGCGTTAGCATGTTGCTAGGCTATTGGCTAAAATACTGTGGAAAAGTTTTTTTTTTATTAGTATTCGGAAATATTTTCTAACTGTAATTGCAAATAGAAAAACACATTGAAATAAGAACTAGTGAGATTTTGTGTGTGTGTAGGTGAGCCGGGTGCCGGTGGAGAGCTGTGAGCAGTACAGCAGCTGTAGCGAGTGTCTGGCTTCTGGTGATCCCCACTGTGGCTGGTGTGTCCTGCACAGTGTGTGAGTATCAGCACTTTCTGACCCCACAGCTGCTCACAAACACATACAGACATGTTTACATGGCTATATGAATCGGGGACACACTGTATTGCTTATTGCTAAAGCTAATTGCTATGCTAACACTACAGTGTTATAAAACAAGTTTCCAGCGAATATTTGTCTGTCTAAAGATGCTTAGCTAGGAGACACAAAAACAGCCAAACAGATCATGTTTAATGTATTATTTAATATATTACTTAGTGGGATTTTGGACCAGTAAAGAAAAGAGAAATCAAAGAAAAGTCCAAAATCGTACGTAAAAAGTATGTACTGAAGTGTTCTTGATGAAGAACTTTTTAAGTAATTAATTATTAATTCATTAATTTATTACTTTTTGTTGTTATTAATATAATGCAGCAAGAATTTTGGTAAACAAATGTTGTTTTTGTTTTGGTGTTTTGTTTGAACACTACTGAAGTTCTGTTCATCACACCACACAGTGTTATTCCAAATCTAATCAACTTACTAATAAAGTATGCACTTGATCTCCCTGGTTGATTATTCTTAGAAATTGATTTTATCCCTCCTGCTGAGTAATATTTGTGTTTAGATGTTCACGTAAGGACCGCTGTGAGAGAGCTGATGAGCCCCAGCGCTTCGCCTCCAGGCTGGAGCAGTGCGTCCGACTCATGGTGCAGCCCAACAATATTTCAGTCACCATGTCTGAAGTTCAGGCAAGTGTTTGTGAACAAAATCTCTTTTATTGTGATCAGATTGTGATTTGGATCACTTAAAATATGTTGGGAGGTGGTTTGAGATGGATTTTGACCACATTTAATGAAGTTTTAAATGTAAATGCATTTGCATATACATAAGTGATATTAATAGATTTGTTGCAAATAATCATATACTGTATGACGGAGTCATTAAATGTTTTTTTTTTTGTTTAGTTTTTTGGCTTTTTATTTTTATTCTCACTACAGAAAGACAACAGTTCACCAAATTTAATAAATAATTTTTTTGAAATATTGATTTTCAGATTAAAAAAAAATAATCTGAAAATGATTGAAAAAAATTATCAATATAAATGATTTAGTGATATTGATAAATTATACATTTTTCAGTGCATGGATTTCACTTGAAATCTCAAAATTTCTCTCTGCTTTAAATCATTTTTGTCACCTCTTCTTCTCTTCTAATCCATATTAACAAGATTAGAAATGGAATAAGGCTGCATTTACACTGGCACACAAAATCTGATTTTTTGCTCACATCTGATGCAGATCGGAATTTTTTGCACACGTGTAAACACAAAAATCCACACGAGATCCGATTTTTTCGCATCTGATCTGAGTCACTTCCAAATGTGGTTTTAAATCAGATACATATCCCATATCTGGACATTCGACCTACGTCTAAACACACATATCCGATTCCCCGCAGAACTCCCAATGCGAGGGTGACACGTTTGCCCATAAAGATTGTGTTTTAATATCGGTGTGCTGTATGCGCTCAAATTTTATTGAGATGGATAATTTATATAGGTAAGAAATTGTACATTCAGGAGCTGGTTTTCAACCCCTGCCCCGTCCGTGAATTTTATAAATACAACAGCTAAAAGCAACAGCTAACTTAGCAGTTTTTGTAATTAAGCCAACAAGCTTCACTTGTTCGCAAGCTTCACACTCGCTTGCGCGTTTTCTCTCTCTCCTTCTTTCTCTCGTTAATTCATTCAAATTCATTTCAATAAATGTCATTTTGGCACTACTTTATTTCACTAAAGAATTCTACCTCAAACGAGCTTTAGATAAAATAGCCTAACATGAAAATTACCGTTATTTTCCATCATTTATCCAGTCAGATTTAGTGCTGCGAAACATCCATGACAGCCGTTGTCCATGCTGGCAAATAATTATGGCCACTTGATGTGTATTATATAAATAATTTTAATAGCACAGCCATTCAAAACCTGAGGGTCTACCATGTGCATAGTAAAGCGATAACTGCAGACAATCCTTTTGGGCAGGAATTAATTTAAATAGACGGGTCAAAAGATCGGATCTATGCATTAAGATTTGCAGTGTAAATGCAGCCAATACGAAATGCAAGAAGTAACATTTTGAATTGTCTTTTCAATGTTTCAAAGTCGATAAATTACAGAAATCTTTCAGTAATGTAACCTCATTTTTTTTGTTAAGTGTGATCAAATCTCTTTCCGTCTACACTGGAGACTCATTGGAAACGAGGTGTAGATGCCATGCGGCTAAAAATATCCAGATAGTATCTGGATATGAAAGTCCAGATGTCTTTTTGTTCAGTGTTTGTCATGCCAATAAAGCACACTGAAAAACCTGTTCCTGTCTCCTGGTCTGTGTTCGGTTCTACAGCTGGTTCTTCAGGCTCAGAACATCCCCAGTCTGGCTGCGGGCATCAACTGCTCATTTGAGAACTACACTGAGACGGAGGGACACATCATGGGGGGACGTATATATTGCCTGTCCCCCTCCGCACGGGAGATCGCTCCCATCACGCGCAACCAGGGTAAGGCGACACACGCACACTCCTTTAAAAGCCTCCTTCCGCTTGTTAGAAAGCGCTGAAGCTCACCGTGTGTCTGCTGGCAGGTGACAAGCGGGTGGTGAAGCTCTATCTGAAATCCAAGGAGACGGGGAAGAAGTTTGCCAGTGTGGATTTTGTCTTCTACAACTGCAGTGTCCATCAATCGTAAGTCTCACACAGGAAACAGAGAAGGCAGTTTCCTGTCTAACTCTCTCCCTGTTCCTCTCTATCGTTCTTTCGTCCGAACTAAGACAAGTGTCTTTTTACAGGACTGTGCTGTGTGTGTGTTTACTGCTTCCGAGTGAGAGAGGGATGTTATTTTTGTGTGGCGTTAGCAGTTTTTTGCTGAGATCAGGGATGAGATCAGACTTTTAATTTCCTTTCATTAACGACTCATGAGCATCCCTGACTTCAGCCGTCCAGCTTTACTGCTCATGAGTTATATTCAGTTCACTCGCTCTCTCGCTCACATTCCTTCGTTTAAATCCATCCTTACGGTGTTCCTAGCAATCTGTTTTCATTTTGGTTTTCTGCTTTTATGAACATTCAGAAAATGTAATGGCTATCATAAATCTCAAATAGTGTAAAAACAAAAAGTTTTAAAAATGATTAATTTCCCTAACTTAAATATATATAAGAAAGTGTAAACATCTTCATTAACTTAAAGTTTGACACATTTTTCAGATTTTCTTTCAGGTTTTTAATTTTCAAGTTTATTTATTTTTTTGAATAGTTTGTTGTCATCAAGTTAGAATTAATTACAATCTGAAACAAAGTTTCAAAGTCTAGAAAATAATTTTCTTGAAATAGTTTTCTAACAAAACATATATCATGAAATTTTCTTGGGATTGTTACATTTGACAACACGAACTAACCTTGCCATGTCATAAAAAGGTCATTTATATCATATTTTTAGGAGGCTTTCTGACCTTGACATACTGTAATGTTATGTACTGTTTTATGGTTTTCTTGACACGATTACATGTTGGTTGTGCCACATTAACTTTGATTTGGTATAGAGTTATTATAGTTAATTAAAACTAAAACCATAAAAAAAAAACGTTGGTTACTTGAAATAAAATAAACTTTATTAAAATAAAATATAAAAACTTAAACTTTTATTTCAGATAGTTGCCATGGCAAACTTTCTCATTTTCACTTATTTTAACTTTGTATTCTTTTATAACTAAAACTAAATAAACTGAAATAAAAATTAAAAACTATAGACATGTTTAAAAAAATAAAAAAATAAAATATGACAAAAACACAAACAACACAACTAAATTACTAACATAATGTTAATTAAAATAAAACATGAATAAAAACTATAATAGTATCTTAATGATATTAAAATAATATTGATTTGGCAAAGTTATTTAAATAAAAATAATATCCTGTTATAAATAAATCTTAACAAATTTGCTTAATTTATTATTCATTTTAAAAATATATTTTTATATAACTTTTTATTATACTTTTAAACAATAGATTTAAATAAATGCATTTATTTTAGCCTTTTAATGAGACTTTATTACTCCACCTTGGCAATTTTGCCCTACAAAAAATAACAAAATTAATTTTAATTCAGAAATTTAATTGAAAATGTTCATCATCTAAGAGGTGTATATGATTAACTTAATTTTTTATGTATTTTTGAAAAAATAAATGCACATGTCATGGAGCCTTTGCACAAACCATACTGATCCTGGCATCACCATTTCATTCTCTTGACCTTATTTCCAGTCTCTCTCTCTGTCCCATGGCTCCCACTCTCTCCTTTTCCTCTTCTTGTCCCGCCTCTCTCCGGATAGACAACAGGTTGTGCTCCAGGCAGGAGCGGCTC